TTCATTCAAATTAATTTTTCTATTTATTTTTTATTGCTATGGAATGCAGTCTAAGGTCAGGGTTCAGTTTCATTCTTTTGCATGTGAATATCCAGTTGACCCATAATCATTTGTTGAAAAGACTATTCTTTCTCCCATTGACTTGTCTTGGTACCCTTGTTGAAAGTCAGTTGACCATAAATGCAGGCATTTGTTGTTTTTTTTTTCAAAAATATCTGAAATCTGTTGAGTAGTCCTTACCAAGAAAAATAAAGCAGAGTGTTACAGAGAGTAGTTTTTGTTTTTCAAAACAAGTTCTGCTTACCTCCCCATTAGGACCAACATTCCGGGAGGATGCCATCTAAAATCGCCTCAGTCTCATGTACCTTTTTGACTACTTCTTTCGTAATGGAAGAATCTTCATTCAGTGTGCTTTTCTTGGATTTTACCATTATTTAAATTTGGATATCTGAGTTTTTTAATATCCAGTTCTCCTTTACTTTGGCACAAACATTGTAACCATGTTAGGATTTGTCCTAGTATTCTAGAGGTTGATTTTTTTTCCCTCTCCCTCACTTGTTTTCAAAGTTTAGTTGATGGCAACGGTTAATCTTTAAAAGAGTCATGCTTATAAAGTTGGGCTATTGGTGAGTGACTGATGGTCTGCTGATTCCAGCTGTAAAATGTTTTTTGTAGAGCAGAAAAACAATTCACTTTCATTCCAGTACACTGTAATTTTTGAGGTCCACTGAGTTTTTAAAAACATTGACTTGAAAAGTGAAGAATTGTAAACTACATTTTTGCTTTAGTATCCTTTAGTATTTGGAAAGAAGAATTACTTATTAGGATCTGTTGAGGCAAAATGGTTATCAGAATAGTTTGAGAGTTAGTTGACTTTAAAGTTCAGGAGTTTAGCTACCTCTAATGGAGCTTTTTATTGCTGAATAATATTCACAGGAATTTCTGTTTTTCATTTGGTCCTTTTTTTCATGATATTTTAAGAGGGGGAAACATTTTTCATTCATTTATTTAATCTAATTTTTTAAAATTAAGGTATCATTGAAAAGCAATCTTATCACGGTTTCACATAAGCAACATTGTGGTCACTGCATTCACCCATATTATTGAGTCCCCTCCACTCCCCACCACGGTCATTGTCCATCAGCGTAGCAAGATGCCACAGAGTCACTACTTATCTTCTCTGTGCTACACTGTCTTTCCTGTGACCTCCCCACCCACACCATGTGTGCCAATTATAATGCCACTCAATCCCCTTCTTTCTCCCTTCCCACCTGCCCCACTCCATCCCTCCCCTTTGTAACTGCTAGTCCTTCTTAGAGTCTGAATCTGCTGCTGTTTTGTTCCTTCAGTTTTGCTATGTTGTTATACTCCACAAATGAGTGAAATCGTATGTTACTTGTCTTTCTCCACCTAACTTATTTCACTGAGATAGTACTGTCTAGCTCCATCCATGTTGTTGCAAATGGTAGGATTTGTTTTCTTTATGGCTGAATAATATTCCATTGTGTATATGTACCACATCTTCTTTATCCATTCAGCTACTGATGGACACCTAGGTTGCTTCCATGTCTTGGCTATTGTAAATAGTGTTGCAGTAAACATAGGGGTGCATATGTCTTTTTGAATCTGTGATTTGTTTTCTTTGGGTAAATTCCTAGGAGTGAAATTCCTGGGTCAAATGGTATTTCTGTGTTTCGTTTTTTGAGGAACTTCCATATTGCTTTCCACAATGGTTGAACTAATTTACATTCTCACCAACAGGGTAGGAGGTTTCCAAAAGGGGGAAACATTTTTATAGACCATATTTATACTCATTCTGCCAACTCTGAAAATATCTATGCAATATCTGTATACACATATATAAAAATACATTTTTGTCTGAATAACATTAGTTTACTCAATGGGAATGTAATCATGAAATCTACTATGTAAATATTGCACGGCATATGTTAAAGAGTGTGTTGTCTCTGTAATATTTCAGTGGGCCTTTGTCCTATGTATGTGTCCATAACATGCATTCAGTGAATGTAGTAGTATCACAGTTAACCAGAGGGCAATTTTCCAAACACCTAAAACATCCCAAACACACCCCTTCAAAAACAAGAAGTTTTTAAATGAACAGAAAATTAGAAAGCTCATAACTTTTATTTCGTTTGACATATGTACTTTCTCTCAGGATCATTATCTTCTTTATATTCCTTAAAGATGAAACTCAAAATAGATGGCAATTAAAGAGGCTGAAATGAGCAATGGCAATGTATGCTTCTTTAGTGCTTTGAACACAGCAACACTAACATTTCAGAATGAAGATCTTTTGCTATTCAAATGGCTTTCTGAATGCAGGGACCCGTGTAATATATATTTAAGAAAGGTTTTTCTTAAAAAATAATTTTGAAATAAAGTATCTGGCTCTTAGCTAGGCACACTATTTGAATATTTGGAAAATTTTCTTACATAGATGACTTTTTTGCCAGTGACTTATAAACATGCTTTGATTAATTAGGTGCATTGTTTAATTTATTCAAACATACTTATGAAGCTGTTTTTCAGGTATTATTTTAGGCAGTGGAGATTCAGCATTGAACAAAGTAGACACAAATCCTTGACCTTGACCTTATATACCTGTAATCTAGTGGGAGGAAGATAGAAAATAAAGAAACAAAAGATAATCACAAACAATACAAATTGTTTTAGTTTTTGACGGTAAATGTCAAAGTAGTTAATTATTCTTTTTTTTCACTTGTAAGTATGCTTTTGAATAAGAAACTCTCATACAGTGATAATTCTATTCCTCTTAGGATCAGTAACAGAGACAGGGACTTTCTGACTGTTAGGGAATAGCCAGGTATGCAGTGTCCAGTTCAGATCATGCTATTTTTTGCTATTATGCTCATGACTTTCAGGTAACTTGGCTATTTTTTTTTGCCACAGGAAGAAAAGGTTATTGTTATAAAATTTTGTTTATCATGTGATCGTTTAAATTTATATTCCAAATTGAGACCTAAATGAAATAGATAACCTCAGTTTGACCTACCAGTGTACATTTAGAGAAAAACATTTGTGAAAATATTAAGCAGATGCTGTGGAATGATAAACCAGAAGTTCTGTAGGTTTGACTTTCTGTGTTCTTTGATTCTGCAGTCTCCTTTGAGTAGTCCTTTAAAGCAGTTTTGCGAGACAGTGGAATATTATTTTGTGTTTGCGAGACAGTGGAATATTATTTTGTGTAGTTGACAGATTGAAGGCATTAGACTCAGATCTTATTGGAATAGTCAGGAGGGGAGATGAGAGCCTCTGTCATGATAGACATCACTTACTTGACTGAATTGTGAATTATGTCTTGGTCAGTAGAGTTCAGGAAGACTGCGTTGGTGATTCCATGCATGGGTGGTGTCCACTGTCAGGAATATGTGATTTATTTTTCTTGAAAGGAGAGAACTGCAAAATAATCCTTCTTACAAGTTTGTTATCAGCTAGGCTGAAAGCAAGAAGAATGAAACTGAGTGATTAATGTAAATACATAAAATTAGATAAATTAGTTCCCTAACATCTTTCTACTGAGTCACCTTTTATAGATCGGGCCTCCTCATTGGCCCTTTAAGTTCTTCTTGTTCTTTTTTATTTTCACCATACTATCACCATTTCCTTTTAGGTAAATGTCTTCTTTTTCTTTTGCCCTTAAATTCTTGTTCCAGTTGTATCCTTTCTCTTTCCTCTCTAAACATTCTTGCTTGACCTATGAAGTTGTAGACTTGCAAAATAGGGAATAGCCAGGTATGCAGTGTCCAGTTCAGATCATGCTATTTTTTGCTATTATGCTCATGACTTTCAGGTAACTTGGCTATTTTTTTTTGCCACAGGAAGAAAAGGTTATTGTTATAAAATTTTGTTTATCATGTGATCGTTTAAATTTATATTCCAAATTGAGACCTAAATGAAATAGATAACCTCAGTTTGACCTACCAGTGTACATTTAGAGAAAAACATTTGTGAAAATATTAAGCAGATGCTGTGGAATGATAAACCAGAAGTTCTGTAGGTTTGACTTTCTGTGTTCTTTGATTCTGCAGTCTCCTTTGAGTAGTCCTTTAAAGCAGTTTTGCGAGACAGTGGAATATTATTTTGTGTTTGCGAGACAGTGGAATATTATTTTGTGTAGTTGACAGATTGAAGGCATTAGACTCAGATCTTATTGGAATAGTCAGGAGGGGAGATGAGAGCCTCTGTCATGATAGACATCACTTACTTGACTGAATTGTGAATTATGTCTTGGTCAGTAGAGTTCAGGAAGACTGCGTTGGTGATTCCATGCATGGGTGGTGTCCACTGTCAGGAATATGTGATTTATTTTTCTTGAAAGGAGAGAACTGCAAAATAATCCTTCTTACAAGTTTGTTATCAGCTAGGCTGAAAGCAAGAAGAATGAAACTGAGTGATTAATGTAAATACATAAAATTAGATAAATTAGTTCCCTAACATCTTTCTACTGAGTCACCTTTTATAGATCGGGCCTCCTCATTGGCCCTTCAAGTTCTTCTTGTTCTTTTTTATTTTCACCATACTATCACCATTTCCTTTTAGGTAAATGTCTTCTTTTTCTTTTGCCCTTAAATTCTTGTTCCAGTTGTATCCTTTCTCTTTCCTCTCTAAACATTCTTGCTTGACCTATGAAGTTGTAGACTTGCAAACTTTAAATAGTTCCTTTTAGCTTCTTGCTGTTGTTCTAGTAATAACTGTTTGAAGTACCCAATTTTTGATAAAAATGACTACTAGTTCTTCCCAGATTTATTTCTTATTCGAACAATGTCAAAACCAAAAGGAAACTAGAAGAGACAAGAAATGAACTTCATTTGGCCACTAAAATAATGACTAGTATTATGGGTATTTTATGTGAGACATGAAAAGCATTTACTTGTTCTGTCTTTATGGTATCAAAATATGGTGCACCAACACACAATTTATTTAGAAATTTCTGAATATTGCCCTTTAAAATTTTTCAGGCTGCTATCCTTGTCCAGGGCCTAACATGAATCCCATTGCTCTTGGGAGCCGCTGGCTTGCTTATGCAGAAAACAAGGTAAGATGTGGCTCATGTTTGGGTTATTTGTAATGGAGCAAGTGTTGAAGAATTTTCCTAATGTGATTACCAACAATAGTTAATGTTTAACTTACTAGTTTGTTTTCTTTGGTTTGGTTTGGTTTTAATTGGACATCCAATAATTTCCTATCTCCCTTCTTGATTGTCTTATCTCCCTTTTTGCTTAGAATGAGGATTTGGGCTCACCGTTAAGTTTTTTTCCCAAAGTTTTTCCTATTTTCTTTCTTTTTCTTGAAATATAGTTGATATACAATATTATGCTGATTTCAAGGATATAACATAGTGATTCGAGTTATCTGTATTATTAAATGCTCACTCCAAGTACTGTAGTTACTGTCAACATAGAAAGATAGTACAGTATTATTGACTGTATTCTCTATGCTGTACTTTCACCCCATGACTAACTATATTATAATTGAGATTTTTTTTGCCTCTTTCCCTTCTTCTCTATTTTCTGTTTCTATATTTTTTCTATCTCTATATTTCTATATTGCATATGTGGACTCATATATTCCTATTTTTGCAATGGCTTTTAATTTTTTTGTCTTTAATTATTTTGGTTCTCACATTGTCCCAGAGTTGATCAATGAGAGCCTCTCTTAGGCTAGTTCTTATGACATTATGACATGCCTTCATTTTTTTTTAATACTCTTTCCTTATTTGCTCTCATAAGAATATAACCAGGTTCATCTTATACCTCCCTGTCTCAGTCCTGGAATCTGCTACTTCTGATTTTCCTGGTTCATTTTAGTGGGCAATGGTATCGGATAGTAAGCTTTGTCCAGAAGTTGTGCTCATTGTTCCTGGGGTGTTTTTTGCTTCTCCACCCTTATCGTGGACAGAGTTCAGAAACATACCTATTATATGCACACACATACTTATGTATATTTATAAGTAGGCAAACATACATACACACATACTAGTGCACCTGTTTATACACATGTACACACATATATCTTAGAAATGAGCAGTTCACATTGATACTTTCACAGAATTCTTCTTTTTCTTCTCTCATTTCCTATTTATCCTGTTTTGCATGGCAAACCCTGACATTAGCACATTTACTTTGTTTTTTCAGTCCTATAATACAAAAAGTAATTGCAAAATTGCTTACTTATGCCACGTCAAAAATCAAACCAAATGAAAAGAGTTCAGTATTTCCTTGCAATCCACTCTCATTGCTGCGCTGTGTAAAGCTGAAGGTGTTCAGTCAAATACGGTGTTCATAAATTACTTTGTTTAGTTTGTCCTTCATTGCTCCCTTTCTGCCTTTCTTCATTGTAGGTACAATTTTTATTTTGTATATAATTGTGTACATTTGTTTTTACATTTATGTTTTATTTATATTATTATGTATTTCATTAGATGTTACATATGTATTTTTTTCTTTCTCTAAAGATAATATATGTGCTTTTTTTACATTGCTTTTTTTGCTTACTTTTATTTCCTGAAGATTAGTCTATTTGATAGAGTTTCATAGTACAGAATTTTCTGATTTCTCTTTGATTTTGATGAACTGAGATGCAAATTAATTTTCTGAATCTAAGTTCTAAATAAAAATTTCTGGTTTAGTTTTATTTATGTAGAAATGCTGCCTTGGTTTTAGTTGAATTGGAAAGGTTATAGTATTGCTTGTTTTCATGTATTTATCCTTGATTATTTTATTACCTAAAGCAGGACAAAGATGATAGTATTTCCAAGGTAATGTCTTCCCTTGCATATATGGCAGGAGGCAGCAAAGGGATAACTTTCATAATTTTTTGCATGTGTATTTGTGAATGAATGAATGAATGTGTAAAAGTGATTCTATTTTAGCTGAAATGTTCACTTCTCAAACTGTTTTCCCTAAGTGAAATCACATTTGCTGATTACCTGTCATTTGGAAAACTTTTCATAACTAACCTTGAAATCTAATTAAGCAACCATTCAGTGTGGAAGCTTGCCATCTCATATCAGACATTTAAAGATATTCCTTTATAACATTATGTTTGCACTGAACTAGTATTTTTCAACACACTGTTAGTGATGAAGAAAAATTTGAATTTAGAGTAAAAGTACACAAGGTTTATATATTAATCTTTAGTAAATGATCTTATTTTAAATACATAAAGCATTTTTTTGCTTTCGTATTTGGTAGATTTTTTCTGAAATTCAGTAGGCTTTAATAATTCATATTGCAGTGTGGAGCTGTTCTAAAACTCTAGTATTGTCATTTTATTTAAAAAAACTTTAATGCTAGAATTGGACTAATTTTAAAAAACTAAACTTAGGAAATGTAGGTTCAGTGGAGAATTTAATCCTGGTTTGTTGCTTAACACATGAGAGAATCATGTATGTCAAAGTAGTAATTCACTATGAAAACTGGCAGGTTGATTTATTTATGTTAGAAATGAATAAGGATGTGTCTTTTTCATTCTAATATAGTAAAACTAGTAAGCCCTCTGAAGTGGACAGCTACTGTGTGTGTCATAGTTGATATATGCATAATTTGTGCCATTTTCCACTGACAAAATTAAAAATGCAGATTCTTTTTTTAAGTTTCTTTTTATAATCTTTATGTAGGAATTAAGAGGATAAAATCTCCAGTTTGCTAGCATGTTAAATATTTAATGTTGGGAAGTCACATCTAAGTCCTTTGATTATGTTCCTAAAATTTATTTGTGGAAAGGCTGCCAGATCCCAAATCCTACCATTTCAGAGTTTATGAATTCTTAAAGACCATTCATCTTGTAATTAAAAATTGTATTTGAGCATGGAACTGCCTGAGTGGCACCAGTAGATTATAAAAAGAGGCAAAAATGTCTCAGCAGGGCTTTTAGCTGTTATGTCTGAAATACACTCATGCAAACTTTCCCACTCACCACCATCATTATGCATGGTAAATAAGCTCTATCCTAATAGCCTGTAGAGTTAAACAGTTTAATAGAAATGACTTTCTGGTGTCTCTCTCTCTCTCTTTTTCCAGTTGATTCGATGTCATCAGTCCCGTGGTGGAGCCTGTGGAGACAACATTCAGTCTTATACCGCCACAGTCATTAGTGCTGCTAAAGTGAGTATCTAGTAGTCTCTGGGAGTGGTGATTATGTGGAATAATTATCAGGCCTTTGTTCTGAACTGTACTGAGATTGTCCCTTCCCTTTTCATCACAAATGTGGGACAAACTTAAAAAATCAGTCAGAAATATTTTGTCAATCATGAGAATTGGTGACTAAATGATTAGGTATTTAATTTCTTAAGGTTCATAAATAATACTTTCTTTTCTCTTATAATGATTAGAGAGTTTGTATTTATCCAATTTTAAATATTTCAGTGTTTTAGCTAGACTAAAGTCTGTTACCTAGTCAACACTTTCGAAAGAAGCTTTACATGTTTTAAATAGTAACTTCTGGGTTCTTTTTTTGTGATTTGCACCATTCTATCTATACTGACATTCCTTTGCATCTTTGGACATTTTTGAATCTTGTTGACATGAAAGGATTATTATACCTTAAGAAATCTTGAGTCAAACCTCTGGCATGTTCAAAGATTCTTTGATGTCACAGGGCTGCCCCCTGCACGTATGTCAAGTGAGTTCTTTCCATGTGTGTGTGAGGGTTAATTCTGATGATGGCTCATAAAGTTTATGTTGATTATAAGGTATTCTTATAATCACTGTCCTTTTGAATTAAGAAGTATATAACAAAACAATTCTAATAATAGGGATGACATAGTGAATCTAAATGACAGCATGTAATAGAAAGCACAGCTATTCAGAAAAGAACAACAGTTTAAAGCAAACCACAGGGAGGGAATCAAAGGTCACACTGTTTTATGTAAAACAAATATAAAAATACTTCAAGATTGATCACAAATGCTTACATGATGTGCTTTAGAATGTGTTTCTTTGATGAGAGAAGCATTACATATTTTTACTCAGAAGAGAAATACTGAATATCTTCATGCTTACTACACTATATATTTTAGATTTCAAAATCTTTATTAGAATTGTTTACTTTTCTGATTGTGTATGCAAAAACTATGATGGTTATTAAACATAGAGAAATCTGAGACACTATTTAGGGATCATCAGCGTTATTCAATTAGCTTATAATATATCCACAAAATACAGGAATGAGAGGTAGTTTTCAAGTATGAGATTCCTTTTAGACTTATCTGTATCATACACTTTAATCAAAATAGGTCATTGTATTATCCTTTTGAATAAGTTTCAGTTATGTGATGGAAGACAAATTTTTAGCTACTCTTTGCTACAATTTTGTGTGCCTACATGAAAGGAAAGTGACCTGCTTCATTCGGTAATTGTTTCCCTGTTTTACTGTTAGTGAAAGTGGACATGCTGACATGAGGCTAGATGTAATATGCCTTGAAAACAAGTCTGCACTCCCCACTTTCTACAACACAGTATTGTGAACTGTGAGGAATATACTCATGTTTTCTACATTAAAACTAATAAATTATGTTGATGACAACACATTAATGCAGTCAACTCAAGCAGGCCATTGGTCACCAGTGGAGCTGGTGTTGATTGGAATTCTTGTTAGCTCTGGCAATATATAAAATTCTGCCATTAACTCCTGAATAAAGTGGCTAATGTTTAATTTGTTTAATTTATTTTGCCTGATTTTGATGCTTATTCATGTTCTTATTTATACATTTATAAAATTAAGGAAAAATAAAACCATGCATATACAACCCGCCCATTTCTTGATAGTCTTAACATGTTCAGTCCAGTCATATATTGTACCCTGCCCTTTTAGCTTAAATGTCATGAAATGTTTTTAGAAAAGTTTTTTTTTTTTGTATATTTATGTGATATTTATCTATGTACTTCTGGACTGCAATGTAATCTGAATATTTTGAGATTTCTTTTAAAATACTGTTAAAGTATCTTACTAAAACCTGTCAGAAATAGGATGATTCTGTCATTTTACTTCCCAGGTGTAGATATTTTATATAGGAAAGATTGGAAAGTTGGGATGATTTCCTCCTTTCCCCAAAGTCATAATTTCTGCCTGTATGTTATTGGATATTAGCAACTTTGTGGGTAAATTAGCTTTCCGGGATATAAAGCAGTTCCAGTTTTCCATGGTAAATGACTTCTCTAATTAAGTAGTATAATTATAAATATATTCTTTTCTGTTTGTTATTATTACATTATGCATTATACTCCTATAGTATGTTGACTTGTAAAAATTCATTATGATGTACATGTATAATTCCTCTACTTCGCTGTATAAGGGCATAAAAGTTTACTAAGAAAAATCTCAAAAGATACTTTCAGAACTAGAAACCTTTTCCAGAGAATTCTAACGTGAGAATAAACAATGTCAATATTACAAAGACTATCCCTTAGAATAAAAAAGTCAGGTTATACCTAATCTTGTTTTATGATGCAAAAGTCACCTTCATTCTGAAACTTGGCAAGAACAATATAAAAAAGGAAAACCAAAGTCCTGTCTTACTCATAAATCTATATATGAAGAACCTTAAACAAACTATTAGCAGAAAAAAATAAACAGTATATATAAGAATAATGTGTCACAAGCCAGTTGGGGTAATTGGGCTGGTGTATTACTGAAAATTAAATAGTATAATCTGCCACATTAATAGAATAAAGGAGAAAATATATGAAATTGAAACTATATGCATTGATAAAATCTCCTAGTAAATATTGATAGTTTTCTTCTGTAGAATTCTGTTTTTCTCAAACTGCCAAATTTTTAAAACACAATGAACATTGCCATTTAGAAGTCTGTTTCTGATGACTCCAATATCTAAATGTTTTTAGTTTGTTTCTATTGATTCTCATTTATGATGTTTTGATTCCTTGTTTGCCAGAATTTATTTTAAAAATCTATAGAAACAATTCTGAATTTGAGATGATAACAGAATTCTGAAGCACTATATGTTTTGGCTCATCTTAATCCCATTTCAGGGATTGATATTACTTAAATTATTTAAATAAAATTACCTGAAGTAGCTGCCAGAGCCTGATTACTACTGGTTTACTCTTATTTTTATTGTATTCACTTTATGTTCACAACCTAAAGCATGGCAGGAAAGTCACTAAGTATATATCCCATTGAACATGACCACTTGTTTCCACAAATCTATCAAAAAAAGCACCACTCAGTCTTTTAGAAGCCCTCTCTAGAAACTCAAATGCTTCTAGACCTAAACACCTAGCTCACATGCCTGGATTTCCTTGTTTTCTTGGATTTGGATCTAGTATATCTTCACTTCCTTGTTAAATAATCAATATGTCGAATCAGAGTTAAAAAAAATTCTCCCCAGTTTTCCTACCTGTTTTCATTGGTAAGATAGATCTGATATACCTAGCCTGTCATTATTAAAAATAGAAAATAAAATTTCTTATTACTTTTTAACCTTTTTATCATTTCTAGGTAACATATTTTTTGAGATATAACAGGAAAACTTTAAAAAGCCATGTAGTATGTGCTCCTTAAGAAAATGCTAATCTTAATTCACACTGATTGCCAAATAACTTTTTCTTGAAAGAATAATCATTAATATTTTTCTCTCTTTGATGACAGCTTCTTATATGGCTTCAAAACCCCTTTGTCATATACAATCATTATTAAATTTTAATTTTTTCTCTCACTGTACAATTATAAGTATAAATATATTAACTGTATATGTACTTGGATCTTCTTAGAGGAAATATTTTTTCAATAATTTCTGGATTTTCAAATAGCAATTAAAATTAATCTTTATATTTTTGGATTTTTCCAGTAATTTATTTGGCTTTCCTTATTAAGAATCTACTAAGGATGAATTCTCAGTGGTAGTGATAAAGGAAAAAAAATACTGTAATTGCTCAAATTGGATTAGTTTGGTACATTTATAAAAATCTTGGTCCATATTTTCTAGTTGTCCTTTAACTGTGTCCTGTTTGATTTTTCCTTCTGTGTTTTAACCCCAGTGCCGTAAATTGATTTAATAAAAATGCCTCTGTTTTTTCTGGTTATCTGATAACTTATTTATTTATTTATTTATTTCTTACTTACTTATATATATATAAATTTTGGTATCCTTAATGTACAATTACATGAGCAACATTATGGTTACTAGACTCCCCCCATTATTTGATGACTTCTTAATGACAACTAACAGCTTTTGTGGGAGCAGCACCATTAGCACTAATGGATAGAGAGGACAACAGACAGAGCATAAGGAAGTTTAAAGATGACTGGTGACCCTTTGGCAAATCAACAGAACAGAATAAGCACTGTGCTCCTTTGAACTTTTGGTCGTACTGGATCATGTGACACATTCATTATAGTCTTAGGTGCACCTCTCTTACAGAGACAGTTTAGTTTTGTGGATGCTCTTATTAAGATGAGTTAGGAATATAATGCACATTTCAATTTAGATACCTCAGATTATGAGGACACTCACTCCAATTTAATATCTCCACTTGGCCAAATAGATTTTTTTATTCCTAATTTTTGCTTAGCCTTCATTTTTTTTTTTTTTTGGTATGGAGGAAATCATCAGGTATGTACATACCTTTTCTACTAAAATCTAGTGAAAAGACTAATAACTGTGAGGTGACTCAGGTATCTGAATATGGTTTGTGAAAACTATTAAAACAAACAACCTTATGTATTCCTTCTGGATACTAGTTCTCATCAATGTGTTTGATTCTACATAGAAGGAAATTTCTCCTAGAAGCAAAGGTCTTTACTAACGCAGAAAACTTCTAGCATTTTTCTCACCCCGTGCATTAGACCTTGTTTTGAAAGTTAATGAATGATGATAGTACTATTTTGTCACTTACTGTACAAAGTGCATTTGATGACTGGTAAATTTGGGGTTTAGACTTTAGTCCACTAATCAGATAGTCCCACTGGTAGTCATAAGCATTTTTGTGTGGAATACCAATAACTAACTCTTCATGTAACATGAGCGTGTGACTGTGAAATATACTACTCTGTTTTCCCCCCTTTCTGAAGTTTTTTCCTAGTTCTCTTATATGGACTTTCCCTTTTATCTTATGGTTTGCTTTGGTTTCTTATACATTGCTTC